TTCTCTCCTTTTCTCCTTCCCTCCATCACTCCTTTCCCTTCTTTAAGGAAGTTACCTCACAGAAATGGAGAGAGAAAGGCTAGGGGAATAAATATAAGAAAATCCTCACAATTGAGGATTCTGGGTGAGGGGGTACATGAGAGCATTTTATTTTTCCATAAGGTTGAAATTATCTCCACCACACAATGAAAGGGGGAAAAGAGAAAGTGAATGTAATAATTATCATATTGGTGTGAGAAAGAAAAAGAATGTTTTAATGTCTAAAACATTACTAGAGGCAAAGACCATTGCTTAGGAAGAAAATATAAAATGGTTAAATTCAGTATAACAGAACCACACGCACAAAAAGAAAAAAAATGGTTAGAACCATGAGTATAAATTGATAAATCCGCCGCTGTAGTGTTAGCTTCTGAATATCTTTCAATCATCTGTAGATCTGGCAAATTAGAAACCATAAGAGATAAAATATTAAAGAATATATTTAATAAGCTTAATCTAATGGACATAGGGTATTGCCTACATGAACTGGATAGATAAGTTCATTTTAAGCACAGAAAAAAACCCACATTAATTAAAAAAAGTATGGATCACAATAGGACATAAAAAAACCTCTTAACACATTTCAGAGAATAGATATTACACAGTCCACACTTACTGAATGAAATGCAGTTAAGTAAAAGTTAACAACAAAAAGGTAGCTAGGAAAGCTAGAAAATAGAAAAATCATGAATCAACATTACATATGACTCAAATAACTATAATGAAGATGTCTAAATATTTGGAGTTGAATGACAATGATCTAATTTAATGATTCTCACTAGGTTTAAGAGGTCAAGGTGAAAACCCAGGCCACCTGCTCCATAGAGCTGCCCTATAACCACCACCAAAAGAAATTCCCATTCTTTCTGCCAATATTTTTCACATTCTAATACTTTATTGCAGAGATATACATAAAGTGCATTGATCTTAAATGGACATCTCTAAGAATTTTTAAATACGTGCATATTCTATTGCTATTGTAGTAGTCCATTGTATGACTAGACTGCCATGAGCTTATATATTCTATTGTTGGGAAGAGGTTTTTGTTATTAATAAGTCTATGATGAATATTTTTGTACATGTCTTTGGGTATATGCTCCTACTCATTTTCATTGGATAGACTCTTTGAAGTGGAATTACTGAATCTTTAAGTCAACATATTTAATTTTAGGATATACTGCTAACTTTTTTTTTTCCCCTAAGAGTCTGTACCAATTTACACTCCTACCAGCCATGTACATTTGAGAGTTCCAGTTGGTTCATGTTGTTACCAAACTGGGCAATGTCAATCTTTTTAATTTTAGCCATTGTGGTGGGTGTGGAGTGGCTTTAATTTTCTTTTTCTCCATGACTAATGATGTTCAGCATATTCTCATCTGCTTATTGCCATTTGGACATGCTCTTTTATAAAGTGCCTGTGAAAGCCTTTTGCCCATTTCTTTTTTAAAATAACTACTTTATTGAGATATAATTCATATGCTAGAAATTTTACCATATTGAACTGTCAATTCATTTTTTTTTAGTATAGAATAGAGTTACGCACCATCACTATCATCTAAGTTCAGAACATTTTTAACCACCAAAAAGAAATCTTATTAAACAGTCACTGTCTATCCTGTCACCCTCACCCTACACACTGGAAACCACTAATCTATTTTCAGTATATATGGACTTGTCTGTTCTAGACTTTTCTTACAAATTAAGTGATACAATGCATGGGTTTCTGTGACTAGCTTTTTCACTTAACATGTTTTCATGTTCAACCATGTTGCAACGTATTTCAGTATTTCAGTCCTTTTTGTTATGAATAATATTTCATCATGTAACTGTACCACATTCTTTTTTATCTAATTGTTATTAAAGGGAATTTGGATTGTTTCCTCTGTTTTGCACATTTTTTTGTATATTTGTATATGTTTTTTATGAACTAGTCAGTTTTTGGTTGCTATGACAAAATACCTGAGAAAAACCAAAGGAAGAAAGACTTGTTTTGGTGCATGGTTTCAGAGGCTTCAAGCCACAGAAAGGTTTATTTTGGCTCACTGTGGTCAGAGGTTTTAGGCCATATCACTCAGTCCCATTGCTGTGGTCTTGCGGTGAGATAGAACATCAAGACGGGGAGGACAAGGTGGAGCACAGCTGCTCACTTCATGATGGCCAGGAAGCAGAGAGAAGGGAAGGGAGAGGGTACAAGACAGGGTACCCAAGGGCACACCCACAAGGACATGCTCCCTCCAACTAGGCTTCACCTCCTATAGTTTTCACTACCTTCCAATAGTTCATGCAGCTATAAATTCCTCAATGAATTAACCCATTGATGAGGTCAGAGCTTCCCAAGATACCACACCTCTGAACATTGCTGCACTGAAGATCAGGCCTTCAACACATGAGTTTTTGTGGTACACCTCATATCCGTACCATAATAGGACATGCACTTTGAATTATTTCAAATATATACCTAGCAGAAAAATTGCTATTATATGATAACTCTACGCTTTATATCTTTTGCTACATATCGTTGATTATTTTCTGAGGGGCTGATCTAGAAATTACAATAGACACCTTAACATAAACTAGTTCTTATCCAAAAGAAAAAATTTGTCCTAATATAATTCCATTTTCTTGCCCTCTTTGTGCTACAGTTGTCAAACAATTGGGTGTTTATACATTGTAAGTTCTTCAATGGTTTTATAATTATTGCTTCTTATGGTTGTCTTTTAAATCATGTAGGAGGAGAAAAGAGGTACACAGGAAACTCTATTTATGTTGCTCTTTTGAGTTTTCTATGTACTTTTCTTGGTGCTCTTTATTTCTTTGTGTGAATCTGAGTTTGTTTAGGGTTCTTTCATTTCAGCCTGAGTTAGTGTTTTCTGAAGAAAATGTATAGTAGTGACACATTCTCAAAATTTTGGTTTATCTGGGAAAAAACCTCAATTTCTACTTGATTTTTGAATAATAATTTTGCTTTATGTAGAATTTTTTGGTAGAGAATCTTTTTTTATTTTAGCACTTTAAATATTTCATCCATTGTCATCTGATCTCCATGTTTCATGATAAGAAATCAACTGTTAGTAATATTGGAATCCATTATATGTGTTCTGTTACTGTTCTGTTGCTTCTTTCAAGATTTCATCTTTGAATTTCAACTATAAAATATTGAGATTTATGGGCTGGGGTTGTGGCTCAGCAGTAGAGCACTTACCTAGCACTTATGAGGCCCTGGATTTGATCCTTACCACCACATAAAAATAAATAAATAAAATAAAGATATTGGGTCCACCTACAACTAAAAAAAATATTGAGAGTTATACAAATGAGTTCGTCCTACACAGAGTTAAGTTTCTTATATGTACAGATTAATACTTTTCATTAACAGATTAAAAATTTTCATTAAATCTGGAAAGTTTCCAGCCATTATTTCTTCAAGTAGTCTTTCTTTTTTCGTGCTTTTTCCACTTTCCTTCTGGAACATTCTTTATGCATATATATTGGTATGTTGATAGTTCCAATAGAAAGACCCCTGATGTTTTGTTCATTTGTCTTAATCCTTATTTTTTTTCTATTCCTCAGACTGAATAATTTTAATTGATCTTATTTCAAGTTCACTATTTTTTTTCCTTTGGACAATTGAGGTTTCTGCTGAACCACCTTAGTGAATATTTTCTTATTTTTCAATTCCAGAATTTCTATTTTGTTCTTAATTATAATTTCTATCTTTTTATTGATATTTTCTATTTGATGAAACATCATTCTCATTCTTTCCTTGAATTCTTTTGACATGATTTAATTTAACCCTTCAAACAGATCTATAATAGCTGATGTAAAATCTTTGTATGTAATGTTTAACATCTGTGCTTCCTCAGTGCCCCTTACTATCTTTCCTCCTCCTCCTCCTCCTCCTCCTCCTCCTCCTCCTCCT